AGGCTCCAAACAAACAAATAACTGGCTCCCATTGGATGATTAGTTTGTGAACACAAGTTTATCAACCCTCCGCCTCCTTCACATGTGACATCTGACAACAAAAGGAGTAACTACAGTACAATCATCAGCAGCACTTTGGAGTTCAGACGTAAAATGTTGAAAACACGTGAAACAATCGTGAGTATTGCATTCCTGGTCATGGTGGAGGGGGGGGGGGGGGGGACAGGTGCTAACGAGCTACAACGACACAAAATCAATTAGGAGAAACAACGCTGTAGTATCAGAAAGGATGCAGATATAAAAACCCAAATGTTCCTCAAGAAGAAACATCTCCAGCAACTTGAGGAGACATGGCAGCGTTTAGAGAACATTGAGCAGCTTGAGGAGACATGGCAGCGTTTAGAGAACATTGAGCAGCTTGAGGAGACATGGCAGCGTTTAGAGAACATTGAGCAGCTTGAGGAGACATGGCAGCGTTTAGAGAACATTGAGCAGCTTGAGGAGACATGGCAGCGTTTAGAGAACATTGAGCAGCTTGAGGAGACATGGCAGCGTCTACTAACGGCCCGTCCAACCGGCGGCGTGCGTTGAAGCTTCAACGCTTCTGCTCATTCACTTTGAATGGGGTGACGTCACGCTTTGCCGAACTGCATTGTGGGAGCGTCGCTTCGCTTTGCTCGCTTCAAAAGCTTGTGTGTCCGGGGCGGGAGATTCATGTGATTGGTTGTTGGCCGAGCTTCAGACACGCCCGCCGTGTGGACGCTGCAAGAAGCTCAGAACCCAACGGAGACCAGGGGACACTAAAGAGTGACGCACACAGCTGGGATAACAGGGGACACTAAAGAGTGACGCACACAGCTGGGAGAACAGGGGACACTAAAGAGTGATGCACACAGCTGGGAGACCAGGGGACACTAAAGAGTGACGCACACAGCTGGGAGAACAGGGGACACTAAAGAGTGACGCACACAGCTGGGAGACCAGGGGACACTAAAGAGTGACGCACACAGCTGGGAGACCAGGGGACACTAAAGAGTGACGCACACAGCTGGGAGAACAGGGGACACTAAAGAGTGATGCACACAGCTGGGAGACCAGGGGACACTAAAGAGTGACGCACACAGCTGGGAGAACAGGGGACACTAAAGAGTGACGCACACAGCTGGGAGACCAGGGGACACTAAAGAGTGACGCACACAGCTGGGATAACAGGGGACACTAAAGAGTGACGCACACAGCTGGTAGAACAGGGGACACTAAAGAGTGACGCACACAGCTGGGAGACCAGGGGACACTAAAGAGTGATGCACACAGCTGGGAGACCAGGGGACACTAAAGAGTGATGCACACAGCTGGGAGACCAGGGGACACTAAAGAGTGACGCACACAGCTGGGAGAACAGGGGACACTAAAGAGTGACGCACACAGCTGGGAGACCAGGGGACACTAAAGAGTGATGCACACAGCTGGGAGACCAGGGGACACTAAAGAGTGACGCACACAGCTGGGAGACCAGGGGACACTAAAGAGTGACGCACACAGCTGGGAGACCAGGGGACACTAAAGAGTGACGCACACAGCTGGGAGACCAGGGGACACTAAAATTATATATTTAAGACATTTTTAAAGTTTAACTTCTTCATATTTGTCTAACATGATAGCTTACTTTTCATTAATGAACTATGACGCTGCGCTGTCAGTACACTTCTACCGTTTGTGATTGGTCCAATGTTGCTAACCCCGCCCCTTTCATGTGAACGCGCACTCAGCCGGAGAGAGGAACCCTGGGTTGATTTACCGAGTTGATAACCAGCGCCGTAGGAGCGCTTAGCGAGAGCACGTCTGTTAGGGTTAGTTAAGAGAACTCAAACATATCCACGGTCTGTTGGACTGGCTTCGTAGTGCAGGACACAGGGGACACTGACAAGTTGGGAGTCTCCGTTGTGTTTTGAGCTTCTTCAGCGTTTGCTTTCTGCAGCTTTCAGTAGACGCTGCCATGTCTCCTCAAGCTGCTGATTGCTCTCTAAACGCTGCACGTGTTCTCAAGTTGCTGGAGATCTTTCTTCATGAGGAACATTTGTGTTTTTATATTGGATCGTTTCTGCACCTAATGTAAGTGTTGTGTTGTAGTTTGCTCGTCACCTGTGGGCCTCCTAGAGGAGGTGGTGTCTTTACACGTCAGTGCCCGGGTCTTAATTGTCAAACAATCAATTAAATAAAAAGGCAAAGAAAATGCAAAGCTCTCAATATAACATAAAAGAACATTGGTGCGTGTTTTCTCCCACTTGAACTGTATATAAAAGTATACAAAAAATTCAAAATATACTGTACTTTTAAAATAATGTAGTTTCACATTTAATAGTTGTTCTTAAACCAGTCCTTAAAATGGTATAAAATATGTTTTTTAAATGAGCATTCCTACTTTAACATGCCGACTCTAACATAGGTTCACACGCCTCATTGTTCTCACTCTGTTCCTTCAGGGTCTCGTCCTTAATGTCGTCCTTAATGTCCTCCTTAATGTCGGACTTCATCTCTTCTTGTGTCTGTATCGAGTACTGCGCCTTCACGTTAAACACGTCCCAACGCTCCGGGACCCAATCCTTGTTGAAGAGCACGGAGAACAGGTATGAAAACAGCAAAATGGACGCCAAGGCGGACAGCATGCAGATGGTTCTCACCGGAGCTCCTTGGATAAAAACACCGTCCACCTCCATGCCTCCTGGGAACTTGATTAAAGCGGGGATTCTAAGCAGGGGTTCGCCACTCAACACCCGCAGCAACATGCCGATAAAACAACCCAAAACGGCGCCGTAACCGTTGGAGATGTTGAAGAAAAGCACGCAGACGAGTTGAGGCAGCATCAGAGTGTACGTGAGGTCTGAGCGCAGCAGCCAGATCATCAGAACGCTGTTATCCAGGAAGGTGAGGGAGGTCCCGGCCAAACCCACCACCACCACCGAGAGCCGGATCACCCACTGGATCTCCCCCTCTGACGCCTGGGGACAGACCGGGGAGTGCACGTTAGTCTCCGGGGGTTTAGGGTGTGCACCGCGTCAGATACAGTCGGTGTTTAGAACATTGCATCGTCCAACATTTCTCATCCAGCAAAATGATGGCTATTATTAATGAACATGAGTCTTCCTCCCTATTTCCCTCTTCCTCTTCCTCCCTCTCTTCCTCTTCCTTCCCCCTCCATTTATTTCCACATGTGTATTTTCCACAACTTTGTAATAATATTTTATTTCTATTTCAGAAACATTTTCGTTATTTCTAGTCTTTTAATTCTCTTATGAACAAGGCCTTGTCTTTGTATGCTGCTGCAACGCAAACATGTTCCAGATTGGGATCAATAGAGTACTTCTGATCTCCTCCTCCTCCTCCTCCTCCTCCTCCTCCTCCTCCTCCTCCTCCTCCTCCTCCTCCTCCTCCTCCTCCTCCTCCTCCTTCCTTCCTTCCTCATAAAAACACATTTTGCTCTTGAACCTTTACGATCATTTACCTAAAAATACAACCATTTTAAGCCATTTTTAAAACAGTTTTCTCATCTGGCATATATGAGTCTTCCTCTTCCTCCTCCTCTTCCTCACCTGAGGTTTTGTTTTTTTCTCTCAGTCATTTCATCACAAATCTTGTTGTGTTAGTATTTGTGAAAGCACAGATCTATCCTATAATATCTTCCCTTCTCTTGGATCTGACTGGTTTACGATCATTTACCCCAAAATACAGCCATTTTTTAAATAGTTTAACATTTGAATATGAGTCTTCCTCCTCCTCCTCTTCCTCACCTGGGGTCGGATGATGCTCCTGTAGATGTTGGCAGTAAAGATGGAGGCAGCAGAAAGGAGGGCGGAGTCAGTCGATGACATCACGGCGGCGGCCACAGCTCCGATGCCCACGATGGAGATGTATGTGGGGGTGAGGTGCTGCAGAACGATGGGGAGAACCAGACCTGCCTCCCCCCGGACAGCCGGAGAGGGGGAGCCGTAGGACGTCATGTTCCAGTCTGAGGACACACACACACACACACACACACACACACACACACACACACACACACACACACACACACACACACACACACACACACACACACACACACGGTAAAAACTCAGTTAAATTATTTTAACTTCACACCTTATACAGGAAAACATTCACACACACACACACACACATACAGACACACACACACACAGACACACGCACAGACACACACACACACACACACACACACACACAGACAGACAGACAGACACACAGACAAACACACACACACAGACAGACAGACACAGACGCACAGAAACACACACACACACACACACACACACACACACACACACACACACACACACACACACACACACACACATAGACAGACAGACACACAGAAACACACACACATACAGACAGACACACACACACACACACACACACTGACACACACACACTGACACACACACACACACACACAACACACACACTGACACACACACACACACACACACACACACACACACACACACTGACACACACACACACTGACACACACACACACACACACACACACACACACACACACACTGACACACACACACACACACACACACACACACACACACACACACACACACAAACCTCAAACCACAAACTAAAATAGAATAAGTCTTGGATTGTTCTCTCTTCTCAATTAAAGTAGTATAAGACTATCGTGTTGTTTTCTGTAACTGAAACGTACAGACGTAGAGCGCTTTTTATGCTTCTCAAATATACTTGAGTACACAATGTACAATTCATAAAAACACACTTAAAATATCATATAAATATAATTCTGCAGAGCTGTCTTGACCTAAAAATGAAGCTGGAATCAAGACATTTGAAAAGCCAATGTGATTTAAAAAAATAACTAAAATAGAATAAGATTACGTTTAAAAGTGATATAAGACTTTAAAATAGCAAAGGACTAAGATTCCACTAACGCACATTTCTCAAAGATATTGAAGTGACTGTTATTTTGTATATATTGATTGTTGTGTTTTTATTTAGGTCTTAATGTGTACATATGTATAAATGTGTCTGTTGATTGTGTATATATAGGATATACATATTTGTATATATATTTGTATTTTTGTATTCGTGATTGTGGGAAACGGCATTTTGATCTCTCTGTCTGTACACACAAACTGAAAGATTGACAGTAAAGTTGACTTTGAGATTAAAAGGGTTTGTTCTCTGTAACTGGTTCTTACTGGTGGATGCAGCAGCAGCTCCTAACAGGATGGGGGGGATTCCCAGCGTGGGGACGATGAAGGCGGCGGCGAAGCACATGATCTTAGCCGTCGACGAGGAGGCGGCTGAGAGCGTCCGCTGGTGGAAGTTCTGGAGACCCAGGTTCCCCAAACCCTGGGAGAGAAGAAGAAGAAGGAGACAAAGAGGAAGAAGAAGATGTACTTTATTAAAAACTTAATTCAGACGGAGGACAAACAATAGAGAGGAAAGGAAACAAAACGAGAGGTGAGTTTGACGAATCCCAGACACTTAATGTCATTTAAGACACACACACACACACACACACACACACACACACACACACACACACACACACACACACACACACACACACACACACACACACACACACACACACACATACACACACACACACACACACACACATACCATGTATACATCACTTCAGGGGACATTACATTGACTTACATGCATTTCCTGGAGACTTATCCTAACCTTCACCATAACCAACACATGCCTAAACCTAACCCTTACCCTAATCCTAAACAAGTCTTCACCCTAAAATTAATGATTCCCTTCATGGGGACCTCCATTTTGTCCCCATAAGGGAAGCCAGTCCCCACACGTGACTATGTAAACAGATGTAGGTCCCCACAAGTATAGTAATGCTAGGCCACACACACACACACACACACACACACACACAAAATATTATTTATATGAGTTTGATGAAGCGCAAATCATCGTCGTTATCACATGCCCTTAAATAATATCATGTTGTTTTATTATAAGGCTCGGGTGAATACTCAATTCTGATTGGTCAATTTGGACATTCTGGAGGTTGTGCTTTTTGCTAACAGACTGTTGCTAAGGAGAACAGACCGTTACTAAGGAGGATTAAGTGCAGTCATATCAATACGCAGAAAGAAGTCCGGTCAATTTAACGTCAGCTGTGAACGTCTAACATTAGTTTTCTCCATCAGGAAGTAAACACTAAAGGGAACAGCAGAAGAAGACAGACAGGAAGTAAACACTAAAGGGAACAGCAGAAGAAGACAGACAGGAAGTAAACACTAAAGGGAACAGCAGACCTCTGCAGCTCATCCAGAATGCAGCGGCTCGTCTGGTCTTCAACCTTCCTAAATGTTCCCACACCACTCCGCTCCTCCGCTCCCTTCACTGGCTTCCGGTAACTGCTAGAATCCACTTCAAGACACTGGTACTTGCTTACCATGCTGCGAATGGATCTGGCCCTTCCTACATCCAGGACATGGTTAAACCGTACACCCCAGCGCGTGCACTCTGCTCTGCATCAGCCAAACGACTCGCTGCACCCTCGCTGCGAGGGGGACCCAAGTTCCCATCAGCAAAAACACGTGGGTTTGCTGTCCTGGCTCCAAGATGGTGGAATGAGCTCCCCATTGACATCAGGACAGCAGATAGCTTGCACACCTTCCAGACTGAAAACTCATCTCTTTCGACTCCACCTCGAGCGATAGAACTATCAACGAAGCACTTATATACTAATAAAGGGCTGGCTTATCTAAAGCCAGTTGAGTAGCACTTGAAATGTTTGGCTCTATGAAACCTGATGTACTTATAATGTAAAGAAGACAGACAGGAAGTATGGGGGGGGGTGTGTGGCGCATTGGGATAGTGCGTTGGTGTTGGGATCAGGGTGTCACAGGTTCAAACCCCACTGCAGTCAGCATGTCGTTGTGTCCCTGAGACTCTTCACCACAAATTCCTCCTGTGGGGATTGTCCACAGTATTGAAGTCGCTTTGGATAAAAGTGTCTAACAAGCAGGGGTTAAATTGGGCCGGGGCTATCCGGGGCTCATACCGCCAAACCCCCGACCCGTCTTGTAACACGGAGCCCGTTTCCTACACCATCAGGGCCGGTTCTAACCAATTTGCTGCCCTAGGCGAGATTTTATCTGGTGCACTTTAAGCACACATTACTAGAGACTAGATCTAGGGGGTACAACTCTAAACACCGATATGAAAAAGATCGGTTTATATTTGAATACCCAAATATGTGACCATAGCCAATAACAAATAAATGTAACTTATTTTATTTTTGTTGTTCATTCATATCTTATTTTAACTAGTTAACATTTATTTATGCATATTTTTTTATATCTCAAGTTTTAAACGATATTTTTGGTTTACTGTCATATACTGTAGTATTGAAATGATTTCAAACCTGTTTATCCCAATAATTATAAAGGAGTGCCTTGGAAATATTTGTTTACATAAGTTGCATTGATCTGTCTCGCTCGCTCCCACGCCCACTTTGACTGTCAGCTACAGACGCCTGATAAGCCAACACCCCGCACTTTCATCACTTACAGCACAGGGCAAAGGAAAAGTGTAACCCATGGTGGTGGTGGGGTTATGGTATGGGCAGGCGTATGTTATGGACGACGAACACAGGCCACTCGATTCACAACATTACCCTAACCCTAACCCTACCCCTACCCCTCACACCAGATACTGACTGGTTTTCGGACCCCCCCAGACCCCCCCCAATAAAGCAAAACTGCACGTTTCAGAGTGGCCTTTTATTGTGGCCAGCCTAAGGCACACCTGTGCAATAATCATGCTGTCTAATCAGCATCTTGATATGCCACACCTGTGAGGTGGGATGGATTATCTCGGCAAAGGAGAAGTGCTCACTATCACAGATTCTTTCAGATTTGTGAACAATATTTGAGAGAAATGGTTATTTTGTGTTTATAGAAAATGTTTTAGATCTTTGAGTTCATCTCATGAGAAATGGGAGCAAAAACAAAAGTGTTGCGTTTATATTTTTGTTCAGTGTAGATAAGTTCCTTTTGGTCTCCATCTTTATTTGAATTTAAAAACTAAGCAACTGGAAACATAATTGTAAAATGGGCTGTGAGGTGCTTTAGGTTTTTAGATATCCTTTGGGATTTATGAAGGTTCAAATGAATCTTATCTTAAATAATGAGAGGCACAAACGGCTTCTTCTTCTTCTGTTCTGGGAGCTTATTAACAGATATAGCTAAACCTCTTTACAGAGTCATGATTACCGTCTGAGCTCAGTTAGTTTAGTCCTAGAGAATTTAAGCCATCTTTAAAAACTCCCGACTACTTTAAGTGGAGGAATTCACATTTCTGCAGGTTCTGAGCAAACATGACCCCAAGGACGATGTTTGAGTTACACCTGCAGTGCGGTCAGCCTCGTTGCACAAGAGCGATCACAGGCTATCGAATAAAGGGAGATATCATCTGTGAAAAAGCTAAATTGGATCCGGTCCAGGTCTGAAACTTGATGTGCTGCCCATGATGTGATAAAGCAGCGGGGCAGAGGACATCCTTGAACAAACTTAAAATGTCACCTTTAACACACATTGGAACAAAACCATTCAAAGTGCGCTACATAGTGAATCTGCTCATAAATGACCGGTGCATGGCCGATATTTATTATTAGTTTAATGTAACCTTCCTAAACTTTATATAAGGGCATGCACGATGGACCACATGCAAATACCCTGGCACTCGCCCAAGATTTGTGGAGAAGCTAAAGATTGTGAGAAGAAAAAACTGTAGCAGGAGTGAAATGGAGGTACAAATGTAGGGCTTTCCCTTTCCTGTAGTGTTCTATAGGTTTTAGTGCATGTAAATGGTCTGCAAAGGCTACAAGTCCCTAAGTTCCAGAACACAGTGACATCACTATGGAATACTCGCTCTCCTATTGGGTAGCGCTCCGACACATTGTTTGTGTTGTGTGGGGGCGGGACATCTCTAAGCGGTTGACCAATCACAACAGAGCCGACCAGCTAACCAATCAGAGCAGACAGGACTCTGGTTTCAGACAGAGGGTGAAAAGAGGTGCTGCAGCACAGGCAGTATGAGAACAATAAAGAGCTTTTTGAACATTAAAGCATGGAGACATGTCCCAGTAAGATAAGATAAGATAATAAGTACTTTATTGATCCTAATTTGGGAAATGTTTGTGTTGCAGCAGCATACCAAGACAAGGCATTGCACATTAGATACATTTAAGACTGGAAATAAACAATCCAAAATGTAAACATCTCAAATCGAAATAAAATAGACACTAAATGTAGAGACACTAAATGACTATTTGTAGTAGCATCTCATCCACTAATCCATGGATGCTGATCCGATACTAGGAAGTGAAATTAAATCATTGCAGACCACTGATTGGTCGGAGAGTGATTAGTCACCTGTCCGTCAAAGGATATTCAGCACAAACCATATGTCTTTATTAGATGACAGTCGTTGAAACTGTGCTTTTCAGACAAAAACGTCCCCTGGATACCTCGCAGAAACCCTGCGTTTGTTATCAGAAATCTATCATCCATTGTGACTGGATTTTTCAAATTCACTCGACCAAGTGAAAGTTAAAAGGCCGGGGGCAGAGCCGCAATGTACACCACACCTTACAATTGACGAGGGGAAGACAAGAGTTCCTTTTACACAGTAATTTCAAGGGCCGGTGCTTCGAGGGAACAGCTGATTACCCCACCTACACTGAGGGTGTTCTGTCCTCAGTGTAGATCAAAATAGAGAAAAGTACAGGGTACAGAAAATAGTGTCGAGCAGAGCTGTAAACATGCAGTCAAAACACGACTTAAGAACAGTATATAAGTCCTTAAGGAACACAAATAAGAGGACAATTGTTCCTACATTGCGTTTTGAGTGGTGGAAGAATGAGTCCTATAACCTGGGAATGACTCAGCATTTTACTACTCAGTATTTGGTCGTTAGCCTGACATAATGTCTGTGGTTAACACAAGCTGAAGATATTTGAACCTTTTGTTCTACGACGTAAAATACATCAGTAAATACCCCACTGGTGGATACAAAAACAGAGGTTGCTAACAAGTGTCTAAATGAGACGATTAAACGTCATCACACCCAACATTAGCCGCCTTTAGCTTAGCGGTGGTGACGTGAAGTCATGTGACCGTGCTGTAGTTCTTTTATAGCCCAACATTAGCCACATTTAGCTTAGCGGTGGTGACGTGAAGTCATGTGACCGTGCTGTAGTTCCTTTATAACCCAACATTAGCCGCCTTTAGCTTAGCGGTGGTGACGTGAAGTCATGAGACCGTGATGTAGTTCCTTTATAGCCCAACATAAGCCACCTTTAGCTTAGCGGTGGTGACGTGAAGTCATGTGACCGTACTGTAGTTCCTTTATAGCCCAACATTAGCCGCCTTTAGCTTAGCGGTGGTGACGTGAAGTCATGTGACCGTGATGTAGTTCCTTTATAACCCAACATTAGCCGCCTTTAGCTTAGCGGTGGTGATGTGAAGACATGTGACCATGATGTAGTTCCTTTATAGCCCAACATTAGCCGCCTTTAGCTTAGCAGTGGTGACGTGAAGTCATGTGACCGTGCTGTAGTTCCTTTATAGCGATATTATATACCTTTATGTGGATATTATCCAGCTGAATAAAAAATGTAGGTATCATAAACGTTTGTTTGCCATTAAGATTATTTTCTGCAATACATTGTTATCTAACAGAAAAATCTAGCTCTCTTCAAGGTAGCCCTTTTGTTACTAAATTCCGGTTTGGTCTACCTAAAATACATCCTCCCCACACCTCTCTGATGACTCTCCCATGAAAAGCCTTATCTTACCAGAAGTAGAAAGTTATCGATCCACATCCAGGCTCTGTCGGCCTCCAGAGTTCCTACCCACGGGTTCTGGAAGGTGTAGTTGTAGGCGGTCTTTGTGATATCTGTGACTGCCGGACCCGTCAGAGCGAAAGGGACGCACAGCCACTGAGGAGACAGAAATAAGTCAAATCAAACTTTAATGTATAGCCCAATATAAAAAAGTTGGCTTTACAGATTAAGGCAAGGTAAGGCACGTTTATATATATAGCACCTTTCAACACAAGGCAATTCAAAGTGCTTTACAAAAATGAAAGACATTAAGAGCATTAAGCAACTTATATATATATCAATATTCCAATTACTTGTATATAGACTATCCTGCACTATTTATATTATATATTATATTTTATCTGTTTTATTGTGTTGCACTGTTGGAGGAGCCTGTGACCTAAGATTTGAATTGACATATACACTGTAGCTATGTACAAATGACAATAAAAGCCTTGAATCTTGAATCTATAAAATGGCATTTTCATTTAAAAGCAAAGATAATAAAACATGAATGAAACATGAAAAGTTACAGTGCAGTGTGAGATGTGAATAGTTCAATTAAAAGCAGTGGCAAAAATAAAAGAGGACCTGAGAGATCTGGATGGTTCATAATTTAGCAGGAGGTCAGAAATGTATTTTGGGCCTAAATCTTTCAACGCTTTAGAAACCAGCAGCAATATTTAGAAATCAATTCTTTGACACACAGGAAGCCAATACACTCCCCTGTTTCTGATTTAGCTTCTTTCTCGGTCTCTGAAGTCTTACACGATTTGCACTCAATTGATCCTAAAAAGTCTGCCGGGCCAGACGGCCTCGATCCTTTCTAAAAATTGCAGCTCAGATTATAGCTCAACCAGTTACTGACATTTCTAATCTCTCCTTGTCCACTCACACACTGCCAGCTGTGTGGAAGCAAGCTCTGGTATCGCCCCTCTTGAAAGCTGGTGATCCCACAGAGTTGAATAAATATCGTCCCATCTCAAATCTTTCTGCGTTATCAAAGATTCTTGAGTCCCTAGTTTCTACTCAGCTAAAGCTCTTTTTAAATTCACACAACATCCTTAACCCTATGCAATCTGGATTCAGATCAAAGCACAGTACTGTGACCAGGGGCGCCGCCAGGGATTTTGGGCCCCTGGTTACATTTTGGTTACTTAATGTTCTAAAATTGTTTGGGCCCCTGCCAGTCACGGGCCCTTAGAATCGTCCTAACTTTTCACCCCCTTACGGCGCCCCTGACTGTAACTGCCAGTCTGAAAGTCTCAGACGATATTAAGGCTGCTTTGGATAAACAATCTGTTTGTGTTGCATTGTTTATTGACCTAGCCAAAGGATTTGACTCTGTAGATCACCACATTATGTCTGATGTTATGTTGGTGTCTCGTTTCGGTCATAACGCCATTTGCTGGTTTCAGAGTTATCTAACCGACCGTACTCAATGCGTCAGGTTGGGTAGTACTGTCTCTGAGCCTGTCACCTTGGAGAAGGGAGTTCCACAGGGCTCTATTTTGGGGCCCTTGCTTGTAAACAATATTTGTAATCAGATGCAATTTTCTACCTATCTTATGTATGCTGATGACACTATTGTATACTCATGTGCTCCTTCTCTGGATATGGCCGTTTCCAATTTAAAAACTGATGTCATCACGCTGCAGCAAGCACTTCTTGATTCCAAACTGCTATTGAACAGTAAGAAAACCAAAGCAATGCTCTTTGCTCCCAAGTCAGCGTCCTCTTGCCTCTCCATTGACACCCTTGATGGCGTCTCCATTGAGTTTGTCGAAACATACAAATATCTGGGCTTTTAGTTGGACAGTAATCTAAACTTCAAACACCACATTGAAGTTCTAACAAAGAAATTGAAATTCACTCTTGGCTTCCTTTACAGATTGAAATGTTGTTTTTCAACTTCATCTCGTAAAAGGTTGGTCTCTGGCTCATTCCTGTCCCAGCTGGACTACGGTGATACCATTTATAGATTTGCCTGTCCCTCTGTTTTGGCCAAACTTGACCCACTCTACCATGCTGCACTGCGATACATATCAGAAAGCTTACACATCTTCCGGCGCAGACTGAAAACTCATCTCTTTCGACTCCACTTCGAGCAATAAAATTACTAACAAAGCACTTATATACTAACAAAGGACTGGCTTATCTAAAGCCAGTTGAGTAGCACTTGAAATGTTTAAGCTCTATGAAACCTGATGTACTTATATGATTCTGTTTTCTTCTAGTTTGTTTCTTCTTGGTCAAATGCACTTATTGTAAGTCGCTTTGAGGCTGGGAAAAGGAGTCTTTTGTATTATGGTCCTTGGTCTTGGAATGACCTTCAATCGAGCCTCAGACTGAGGCCACCAGCTGCTCTTGCAGTAATTAGTAGTGTACCTTTCTTACTGTCCTAATGTGCTCAATGTAGTGACTGCTTTTCGTCTTTTTGTTTACTTAGTTGTGTACTCTGTATTTTATATGTCTGTGTTATGTGTAATTATGTGTAATTATGTGTAACGTTGCTGCTTTCTTGGCCAGGTCAGCATTGTAGATTAGATTTTATCTCAATGCTTTTATCTGGTTAAATAAAAGTTAAATCAAAATGAAATAAAAGTGTAAAGACTTCAGAACTGGAGTGATGTGATCCACTTTAAAAACCAACAACAACTTTGTATATGATGGAGTTACAGCAACTTGAGAAGACAAGATAGTGTGTAGAATACAAATAGAAATAAAACAAAAATAAAATACAACAAAAGACAATAAAAATACATAAAACATTCAAATTAATACCATAAAATGTCAGCTCTACCTGAAGGCTTTGTTAACAATGTAGGTCTTGTTGAAAGACCCTCATGTAAGACCACCACTTAAATGAATATGGCTTTTTAATAAAAATCTGTGTACTTTTATTTAACCCAGAGGCAATTGGGTCTATTTTAGGATCAAATAAAAGTGTGTTTTACAAAGAAAATGGAATGTGATCGTGCTGTAGTTTCAGATTACTTGCATTGAAATGTGCACATTGTACTATAATATAAAGCAGGTTTATTGCAATATACACAGTGGTTTATTTGTCTGAATAAGCTCTTCGTTCTGCACAGTTTAAGAGGGTTTGGCTGCCCATGGTGAAGTGAAGTTAATCTTAAAATAACATAGCTATTTCTTCTTCACTCGATTCACCCAAATGGTTTATTTATTGACTTGTACTTTAGTGTTTTGGAACACAGCTGGCGTCTATGGAAGCATGCATAATGCAGATGATGGTACCTGCAGAGGATGCCAGTCTGGTCTAATGTACCGTTAACACATGAACACAGATGAATTCCCACACACACACACACACACACACACACACACACACACACACACACACACACACACACACACACACACACACACACACACACACACACACACACACACACACACACACACACACACACACACACACACACACACACACACACACACACACACACACACACAGCCAGACAGACACACACACACAGCCAGACAGACACTCACACGTTAGTATCCAAACTGAGCCATCTAAGAGTTTTCTTGAGATAATGGCTAAACAACAAATAGATTTACTTCAAAACAACACAGTTTTATAGCTTTAAAGGAGGGTTTCAATAAACCCTCCTTTAAAGCTATACAAATAGCAAAAATGCAGAGTTTAAAACAAAAGAGTGAAGCTACTTATATATATTATAAGAGAATATGAAATAAACATTTTGCTGTGGGATAATGGGATAATACTTTGTTATAACCTTCCACAACTGCAGGAAAGTGGAGAAGTGAAGTGACTCAGTAAATCCTTATTATCCCGAAGTATTTACCCAAAGTTGGCTGACATAATCCTCCATAAGCTACAGCTCATACCAGACCAAGTAAGGCTGTGGCAGCAGAACCATAGAGTGTTAAAGGGAACAGGGGTCCGTGTTAACGCAGGGTTCTCATGCATGTGTGTCGAAACTCTGAGTCTAACACCATGTTTAACCGCATCCTATTGGGACAGAGTTGTTGTAAGTTTGACAATGTACTGTCACACGAGCCCTAAAGCCTGATAGTGAGTCAACAGTTTACTACTTCCTGTTCCCTAGTCTGGAATTCAATGGGTTTTTTTATGTCTTTTTGGTTGGTAGCGTGAAATAAGGTCTGTGGTTAACATAAGCTGAAGAGAGTTTTATTCAACGACATCAAATACGTCAGTAAATACCCCACTGGTGAATTAAAAAAAGATTGTTGTTAACAAGTGTCTAAATGAGACGACTAAACTATGTGTTGTAGTTCCTTTTTTCGCTAACATTAGTCTCCTTTAGCTTAGCGGTGGTGACGTGAAGTCATGTGACCGTGCTGTAGTTCCTTTATAGCCCAACATTAGTCTCCTTTAGCTTAGCGGTGGTGACGTGAAGTCATGACCGTGCTTGTAGTTTCCTTTTAGCCCACATTAGTCAACCTTTAGCTTAGCGGTGGTGACGTGAAGTCATGTGACCGGTGCTGGTAGTTCCTTTATAGCCACATTAGCCACCTTTAAGCTTAGCGGTCTGATCCTACAATGTGACCCGTGCTTTTAGTTCCTTATAGCTCACATTAGCACCTTTAGCTTAGCGGTGGTGAACGTGAAGTCATGTGACCGTGCTGTAGTTCCTTTATACTCGCAAAATTAGCCACCTTTAGCTTCGCGGTGGTGACGTGAAGTCATGTGACCCGTGTGTAGTCTTTAGACCCACCAATTAAGCCGCCTTTAGCTTAGCGGTGGTGACGGAAGTCATGTGACCGTGCTGTAGTTCCGTTATAAGGCCAAACTTAGCAACACTTAAGCTTAGCGGTGGTGACGTGAAGTCATGTGACCGTGCTGTAGTTCCTTTATAGCCCAACATTAGCAACCTTAAGCTTAGCGGTGGTGACGTGAAGTCATGTGACCGTGCTGTAGTTCCTTTATAACCCAACATTAGCCGCCTTTAGCTTAGCGGTGGTGATGTAACTAAACTGAAAACCATAAAACCAGAAGTGTCGTAAATCATAACAAAAACTTACAAATAAAACGATCATTAACACTCTTTTTCAAATTGAAGTAAATGCAAACAGAATATCTAAAGAAACCATTTGAAAATAACTTCAATGAAGAACATTTAACGTGAAAAATGAAAGACAGGTTTTGATGGCTCCGTTATCCAAGCTTAGCATAGCAGGTGCATAGCTTCGATCTTTCCAAAGTTTAAAAATACACCTACAAACACCTCCAGAGCTCCTCCATTAACACGTGTCTCTTTTAATCTGACCACAAATAGAATGTAAAAATGACGGCCTGCGGTTTGACGGGTAGTTGAGTGCTGTCACTCTTTCCTGGTGAGCAACAGGACATGCAAATATACAGTAATGTTAAAGAAGTACACAAAACCCCGCCTAAAACCTCAAATTGATGTTTTTAGGTTTTCTGTACAGAAAAGCCAGACACAAGATGTTAATTACAGGGTTTTAAAGCTCGTTTAGGACTATTTTTAAACTTTAAACAGAGCTTAAATATCTGTTTCCTTCTTCCTGCCGTCTATATGCTGAATTTGGCTAAACGCCTCCCAGCTATAGCTCTGGATTTAACACACTGACTGGTTTCTATGTATTCATCATGTCCTCAAATGTTGATCTGTTCCTCTCATGCTTCCCATGAATACTTAATACAAACTCCTCGTACGTGTAAACCTACCTGGTGATAAACCTGATTCTGATTCTGACAATGAAACCTTTGAATGTGATGTTGGAGCTATATATATATCTCTTTATATTATTTAATAGTTTAACATTTATTTTCTTGCTGTTTATAGTGTTTATTATTATCATTTATTTATATGTATTCTTAGTTAGCGTCATAAGTTAAAGTAGTTTCTATGCTTTTATTTTGAAGGCATGTTTTGGGCACTGGGTGATTAGAGCACCTGGTGTAATTGTATATATTGGAGACAGGTGGGTGGTGGGAGCCAGAGCACTGGTAGGCAAACGGGTTTTTTTACCAGGGTGTTTCAAGCTACACAAGGGAAGGCCATAGGAAAGGCTTAAGGAAAGAGATATAGGAAACCTGTTCATTGTATTTTGTTATAGGAATAAAATGCACAACGGAGAATCTTGTCTGGAGCTGGATCATTGCCCTGCGTAAGATCTGCTAACTAGTGCCTCAGCGGCTGTTAAGTTAACTATCTGTTTTAGTTCTATATGATTTTGGCCGCTACATGTGATATGTGAGCAGGAACTCACCAGGCTGATGAAGATGAGGACGAGCTGGATGATGTCGGTGTATGCCACAGAGTACAGCCCTCCCATCAGGGTGTAGGTAATCGCCACGGCAGCAGAGATCCAGATGCTCACGGTGTACGACAAGTTCAGGATCACACTCATGGTGACACCTGGAAAACACACACACTTTGGTGTTCAAACACTGATTTCAGAGACTTGTGTGTTGATTATAACATCACCACAACTATTCATTTACTAGCTTTGACTTTAGATTAGATTGAATGATTCCACAATGGGAACTGCAGCATGTTTAGAAGGCATTGCACATGAGTTTAAAATATGATAAAATACAAAAGAAATAACATAATAAACATATTTAAAATTAAAATAATTAACTTAATTAATAACATAATAGATAAATATTTTGTGTATACATTTAATATTAAAATAAAATACAAACAATTACGTTTTTCTGGGTCTCTGGGTAGAATATCCTTCAACCAAGGTATTCTACATCCTTGATCGAAAGCCCTGGCCGTTGCACTGAATGAGAGCGTACGTTTGGACTGACAGTTTGATCAACCAATCAGATATTGATTTGTAGCCAATGGGCGTGTTCTTTCAGAGTTTCCCTCGGTTACAGGTGCTCTAAGGCCCGGTAGTTCACTGGCTCGAGGCAGAGGATCTAGATGAATGCGACGAAGCAATTCATATGAACTTTTATTGTTTTTAACGTTGAAATGGCAACAGGTGAATATGATGTTGTTAAGGAATTGTTGTGAGTACCCTTTTCAAGACGGGCGGTGGGGGGTGTGTGTGTGTCTACAGAAGGTCCAGTTGTGATAGACACGGTTCGCCACTGGTACATATGCTGTTAAACGCGGCCACATTTACTCAAATTCATCAATAATCTCCTGAGTCCATGTGACACAAGGTGCCTCTAAGATACGATAAAGTAAGATATAATGTAATAATATATATTTTCTTTCTAAGTGTATGGAGCCAGAAGGATTAACCCAAGAAGAAAACCTGCTTTTGTATTCGCCTGTTGAGCAGAAATACAGCTGTGTTGTTCACAGGTGAGTTAGCACGCTGTTAAAGGAGTATTTAAAACATGAGAGCAATCTTGATTTCTACAAAGGATTTTAATGACAAGCGATTCTTATCTTAAGCTTATCCTTGTTTGAATAGTTTGCTAAGGGAAGTTGTTTCTCTTGCAGTTTACACCCTCCAGTCTTTTAAATGAGATAGTCTCTTATCAATTCATCCGAAAAACTCACTGCTTGCTTTCTTGTAACAGGAAGTTCTTAAAGGGGCCGTATCCTTCTCATGTTCAGGTGTCTCTACTTTAAAGAGTCCTCTCCTGCTGATGTTCAGGTGTATATCAGTATGTAGTGTCTCTACTTTAAAGAGTCCTCTCCTGCTGATGTTCAGGTGTATATCAGTATGTAGTGTCTCTACTTTAAAGAGTCCCTCTCCTGTTGATGTTCAGGTGTATATCAGTATGTAGTGTCTCTACTTTAAAGAGTCCTCTCCTGCTGATGTTCAGGTGTATATCAGTATGTAGTGTCTCTACTTTAAAGAGTCCTCTCCTGTTGATGTTCAGGTGTATATCAGTATGTAGTGTCTCTACTTTAAAGAGTCCTCTCCTGTTGATGTTCAGGTGTATATCAGTATGTAGTGTCTCTACTTTAAAGAGTCCTCTCCTGCTGATGTTCAGGTGTATATCAGTGTGTAGTGTCTCTACTTTAAAGAGTCCTCTCCTGCTGATGTTCAGGTGTATATCAGTATGTAGTGTCTCTACTTTAAAGAGTCCTCTCCTGCTGATGTTCAGGTGTATATCAGTATGTAGTGTCTCTACTTTAAAGAGTCCTCTCCTGCTGATGTTCAGGTGTATATCAGTATGTAGTGTCTCTACTTTAAAGAGTCCTCTCCTGCTGATGTTCAGGTGTATATCAGTATCTAGTGTCTCTACATGTCTCCGTGCTTTAATGTTCAAAAAGCTCTTTATTCTTCTCATACTGTCTGTGCTGCAGCACCTCTTTTCACCCTCTGTCTGAAACCAGAGCCCAGTCCGCTATGATTGGTTAGCTGGCCGGCTCTGTTGTGATTGGTCAACCGGCTTAGAGATGTCCCGCCTCTTAAACTATCACGTACGATGTGTTGGAGCGATAGCCAATAGGAGCGTGAGTGTTAAGATAGTGAAGTCACTTTGTTCTGGAACTTTGGGATTTTAGTCTTTGCAGACCATTAACATGCACAAAATAAAATATAAAAACATTACAGGATATGAGAAATCCCCAATAAGCAGATTAGAACCTCGTTAATAAGTGGTTTCCTACATTTCCAAAGAGACTTTTCAGCAGTTCTCATGGAAAGGCAAACACTGTAAACATTACAGTAGAGAAAGTGTAGTTCAGATTTTCCTTAAGAACACAATGCCTCAATACACCATGTTGTGATTGGTCAACTGCCTGGAGATGTCCCGCCCAATAGCCTATCACGCACAATGTGTTGGAACGCTAGCCAATAGGAGTCTAATAGAGGCGTTTCAGGCATGATAAGGCCTCTTTAATATCTGTTAATTTATTGAAAAGTGTGATATTTAACAGCATGATTGCGTTTATTCCTCACGTCTTGCAGCCTTGACTCGCTATTTGATTCTGAGGAAGCATTTTGTTTATACGCCGCCACATCATTGCGGTGTGATTTAAGATCCCGTCTTACATCATGATGGAGTTATTTCAGACCGTGCATACAATTAGATGAAGGCTTGTGTTTCACTCAACACGCTGTCAGAGAGCGATCAACAGCTGCTCCGCTGCCAGGGTCAACATCACCAGTATCAAATAGATCACGCCCACACACAGAAACATTCTTACCTAATCCTATGAGTGTTCCTGTTACCCACATAATCTCTGATATGAGCGAAGCCAGAGACAGAGCGGCCGTCGGTACTTTTCCATATTTGATCTGGAACGGGTCCATCATGGTCACGTATTTATTGTCTCTCATCGGCTCGGCGAAGAACAGGCCTCCTGAGAAAAGGACAAAGACACAAAAGACACATTCAGATGTAGAACAAATAAGTCTGATCTAAGTGAGGTGGGAAGTAGTGGAGTACAAATACTTTGTTACTGTACTTAAGTACATATTTCTGGTATCAGTACTTTACTCCACTACTTATTTTTCTGACGACTTTTTACTTTCTACTTCTTACATGTTGAACTCAAATACCTGTACTTTCTACTTCTTACATGTTGAACTCAAATACCTGTACTTTCTACTTCTTACATGTTGAACTCAAATACCTGTACTTTCTACTTCTTACATGTTGAACTCAAATACCTGTACTTTCTACTTCTTACATGTTGAACCCAAATACCTGTACTTTCTACTTCTTACATGTTGAACTCAAATACCTGTACTTTCTACTTCTTACATGTTGAACTCAAGTACCTGTACTTTCTACTTCTTACATGTTGAACTCAAATACCTGTACTTTCTACTTCTCACATGTTGAACCCAAATACCTGTACTTTCTACTTCTCACATGTTGAACCCAAATACCTGTACTTTCTACTTCTCACATGTTGAACTCAAATACCTGTACTTTCTACTTCTTACATGTTGAACTCAAATACCTGTACTTTCTACTTCTCACATGTTGAACTCAAATACCTGTACTTTCTACTTCTTACATGTTGAACACAAATACCTGTACTTTCTACTTCTTACATGTTGAACTCAAATACCTGTACTTTCTACTTCTCACATGTTGAACTCAAATACCTGTACTTTCTACTTCTTACATGTTGAACACAAATACCTGTACTTTCTACTTCTTACATGTTGAACTCAAATACCTGTACTTTCTACTTCTTACATGTTGAACTCAAATACCTGTACTTTCTACTTCTTACATGTTGAACTCAAATACCTGTACTTTCTACTTCTTACATGTTGAACACAAATACCTGTACTTTCTACTTCTTACATGTTGAACTCAAATACCTGTACTTTCTACTTCTTACATGTTGAACTCAAATACCTGTACTTTCTACTTCTCACATGTTGAACTCAAATACCTGTACTCTCTACTTCTTACATGTTGAACTCAAATACCTGTACTCTCTACTTCTTACATGTTGAACTCAAATACCTGTACTTTCTACTTCTCTCATTTTCCAAACAGCTGGTTCCTTTAGTCTGAATGTGTGTTTGATGCGTGATCATTATTCTTTAGAGTCATTGCGTGCCTATTGATTTGAACACGATCCGTGTATCCATCATTTCCTGGTCTTCTCTAAAGAAGAGGGACCAATGGAAACGTTGTCATGTTGCCGTTGTTCAGCATGGAAACATTCATTAGCTAACAATGACATTATTGTTCTATTGATATAAAGGGAGGTCAGGTACTCTTTAAAGCAGCTGCTAGTTATGGGTACTTTCTACTGAAGTACATTTCAAAGCCTCTTTACTTTCACTTGAGTAAAGAAGTTTAGTCAGTACTTCTACTTTCACCAGAGTACTTTTAAACACGAGTATCTGTACTTCTACTCGAGCAAAGGATGTGTGTACTGCAGCCATCTCTGGATCTGAGTACTTAAAAGACTTAAAATCAGAAGTTCTTTATAGGTCCCACAGCGGGGACATGTGCAGTGTGACAGCTCTCCACTTTGAATATAGTATTTGTCATATTTCATTAGATTTGACTGAGCTCAAGTTTGCACATAAGTATATTTGACTACTTTGAAGCAGATGTGTTCCTCTGTAGTTGCCTTTGAAATTCGATGCCCAACTATTAAAGTGCTGCAGGAACATCTTTAGGTTTAGGAAAGTATATAAAAATAGGGCAATTAGACAGCAGGGTATGTTCTAAACCGGTAACAGGAGCGCTGTGATCTACACAACGAGATAAACAATAAATAAAACAAAATCACCTGATACTGTCACAGCTTGACAGACGGGAGAGTGTTATCTTGGCTGGAGCTGTGCATATTTAAATATGTATATAAATATACCAGCTGTGCCCTCTTACTCCCTGCGTGTGCCCTCAAACCAAAATTAAGATTTTCACCCGTAAAAGTGATGCCAGAAAACACTATTTCTGTTCGTCAAAAACGGTATAATTACTCCAGAAATATGAAAATGGTGAGTTCGTCAGACAGCTTTGTTTTTACGGAGCTCCGAGCTCATAAATATATATTTTGTGTAAAGATTGTCGTTTTTTTTCATTTGTTACAACACTCTTAAAACTGTTTTATTAAAATAGCTTTTATAAAAGTACAATTTTTATTTATTGATGCTTCCTATTCTTCTTTCTTTATCTTTGTACGCACCATTTATAGCAAAGCAAACTCCTCGTATGTGTACTTAGTAATAAAACTGATTCTGATTGGGAGGTGGTACAGCGGGTAAAAAAGCTAAGCAAAATGCAATTTAAAACGGACGTAAATAACATATTAAAGTAATGTAACCTGATGTTTGTTATGTAACTGTAAGGGATCTTGTAATGTAATGCTTGACTCCTACAGCCTTGTTATTTGTTATTAAAATGTCTTCAAGGCAACATCCAGCTTCAAATGACTCCCCAGAATTCTAACTTTAAGCAACCCTTTTTAATTTCCTGTTATGATATTCCTTCTTTCCCCTTTAATTCCCCCTGAGGAGTTTCACAGGAAGCATTTAGCGGAGGCGGTTAGCCACTCAGACGCTGATGCATCGGTCTCGTGATCTCCTCTGATGGTAAGTTATGACCTAAATAAGGAAATGCATTACGCACACGGTGAGTCTCATGCTCTCCCTTTCCCCTGATGTAAGAGTTTTATTTCATAAAGCACTAAATAGCTTCTTATAATAGCCCCAAACCCTATAGCTATAAGACACATTTACTGCCTATGCAATCAGCGAAAGAGCAGCGTCACTGAGTGCACATTTCAGCGAAGGGTTAATAGGATAAATCTCTTTCCTTTTTTTTCCTCATGTGACTTTCATGTGGAGGAGGAGGAATGCTGCTTTCCTTCGGCTAATCTCCAGACTTGTGTAGCGACGCTGGGTTTGCATTGATAAGATATCACGAAACCTGTTTTCACAATAAATCCTCCATCCTGTTGTTACTGTACACTCTAACACTGCTTTCTGATTCCAGGAGGAACAACGGCTTTATTTCATGTTTTAGGGGAAATAGAGAGTCCTCTCCTGCTGATGTTCAGGTGTATATCAGTATGTAGTGTCTCTACTTTAAAGAGTCCTCTCCTGCTGATGTTCAGGTGTATATCAGTATGTAGTGTCTCTACTTTAAAGAGTCCTCTCCTGCTGATGTTCAGGTGTATATCAGTATGTAGTGTCTCTACTTTAAAGAGTCCTCTCCTGCTGATGTTCAGGTGTATATCAGTATGTAGTGTCTCTACTTTAAAGAGTCCTCTCCTGCTGATGTTCAGGTGTATATCAGTATGTAGTGTCTCTACTTTAAAGAGTCCTCTCCTGCTGATGTTCAGGTGTATATCAGTATGTAGTGTCTCTACTTTAAAGAGTCCTCTCCTGCTGATGTTCAGGTGTATATCAGTATGTAGTGTCTCTACTTTAAAGAGTCCTCTCCTGCTGATGTTCAGGTGTATATCAGTATGTAGTGTTTCTACTTTAAAGAGTCCTCTCCTGCTGATGTGCAGGTGCATATCAGTATGTAGTGTCTCTACTTTAAAGAGTCCTCTCCTGCTGATGTTCAGGTGTATATCAGTATGTAGTGTCTCTACTTTAAAGAGTCCTCTCTTGCTGATGTTCAGGTGTATATCAGTATGTAGTGTCTCTACTTTAAAGAGTCCTCTCTTGCTGATGTTCAGGTGTATATCAGTATGTAGTGTCTCTACTTTAAAGAGTCCTCTCCTGCTGATGTTCAGGTGTATATCAGTATGTAGTGTCTCTACTTTAAAGAGTCCTTTCCTGCTGATGTTCAGGTGTATATCAGTATGTGGTGTCTCTACTTTAAAGAGTCCTCTCTTGCTGATGTGCAGGTGTATATCAGAATGTAGTGTCTCTACTTTAAAGAGTCCTCTCCTGCTGATGTTCAGGTGTATATCAGTCTGTAGTGTCTCTAATTTAAAGAGTCCTCTCCTGCTGATGTTCAGGTGTATATCAGTATGTAGTGTCTCTACTTTAAAGAGTCCTCTCCTGCTGATGTTCAGGTGTATATCAGTATGTAGTGTCTCTACTTTAAAGAGTCCTCTCCTGCTGATGTTCAGGTGTATATCAGTATGTAGTGTCTCTACTTTAAAGAGTCCTCTCCTGCTGATGTTCAGGTGTATATCAGTCTGTAGTGTCTCTACTTTAAAGAGTCCTCTCCTGCTGATGTTCAGGTGTATATCAGTATGTAGTGTCTCTACTTTAAAGAGTCCTCTCCTGCTGATGTTCAGGTGTATATCAGTATGTCGTGTCTCTACTTTAAAGAGTCCTCTCCTGCTGATGTTCAGGTGTATATCAGTATGTAGTGTATCTACTTTAAAGAGTCCTCTCCTGCTGATGTTCAGGTGTATATCAGTATGTAGTGTCTCTACTTTAAAGAGTCCTCTCCTGCTGATGTTCAGGTGTATATCAGTATGTAGTGTCTCTACTTTAAAGAGTCCTCTCCTGCTGATGTTCAGGTGTATATCAGTATGTAGTGTTTCTACTTTAAAGAGTCCTCTCCTGCTGATGTGCAGGTGCATATCAGTATGTAGTGTCTCTACTTTAAAGAGTCCTCTCCTGCTGATGTTCAGGTGTATATCAGTATGTAGAGTCTCTACTTTAAAGAGTCCTCTCCTGCTGACGTTCAGGTGTATATCAGTATGTAGTGTCTCTACTTTAAAGAGTCCTCTCCTGCTGATGTACAGGTGTATATCAGTATGTAGCGTCTCTACTTTAAAGAGTCCTCTGCTGCTGATGTTCAGGTGTATATCAGTATGTAGTGTCTCTACTTTAAAGAGTCCTCTCCTGCTGATGTTCAGGTGTATATCAGTATGTAGTGTCTCTACTTTAAAGAGTCCTCTCCTGCTGATGTGCAGGTGTATATCAGTATGTAGTGTCTCTACTTTAAAGAGTCCTCTCCTGCTGATGTGCAGGTGTATATCAGTATGTAGTGTCTCTACTTTAAAGAGTCCTCTCCTGCTGATGTGCAGGTGTATATCAGTATGTAGCGTCTCTACTTTAAAGAGTCCTCTCCTGCTGATGTGCAGGTGTATATCAGTATGTAGCGTCTCTACTTTAAAGAGTCCCTCTCCTGCTGATGTGCAGGTGTATATCAGTATGTAGTGTCTCTACTTTAAAGAGTCCTCTCCTGCTGATGTGCAGGTGTATATCAGTATGTAGCGTCTCTACTTTAAAGAGTCCTCTCCTGCTGATGTGCAGGTGTATATCAGTATGTAGTGTCTCTACTTTAAAGAGTCCTCTCCTGCTGATGTTCAGGTGTATATCAGTGTGTAGTGTCTCTACTTTAAAGAGTCCTCTCCTGCTGATGTGCAGGTGTATATCAGTATGTAGTGTCTCTACTTTAAAGAGTCCTCTCCTGCTGATGTTCAGGTGTATATCAGTATGTAGTGTCTCTACTTTAAAGAGTCCTCTCCTGCTGATGTGCAGGTGTATATCAGTGTGTAGTGTCTCTACTTTAAAGAGTCCTCTCCTGCTGATGTGCAGGGTGTATATCAGTATGTAGTGTCTCTACTTTAAAGAGTCCTCTCCTGCTGATGTTCAGGTGTATATCAGTATGTAGTGTCTCTACTTTAAAGAGTCCTCTCCTGCTGATGTGCAGGTGTATATCAGTATGTAGCGTCTCTACTTTAAAGAGTCCTCTCCTGCTGATGTTCAGGTGTATATCAGTATGTAGTGTCTCTACTTTAAAGAGTCCTCTCCTGCTGATGTGCAGGTGTATATCAGTATGTAGTGTCTCTACTTTAAAGAGTCCTCTCCTGCTGATGTGCAGGTGTATATCAGTATGTAGTGTCTCTACTTTAAAGAGTCCTCTCCTGCTGATGTTCAGGTGTATATCAGTATGTAGCGTCTCTACTTTAAAGAGTCCTCTCCTGCTGATGTTCAGGTGTATATCAGTATGTAGCGTCTCTACTTTAAAGAGTCCTCTCCTGCTGATGTTCAGGTGTATATCAGTATGTAGTGTCTCTACTTTAAAGAGTCCTCTCCTGCTGATGTGCAGGTGTATATCAGTATGTAGTGTCTCTACTTTAAAGAGTCCTCTCCTGCTGATGTGCAGGTGTATATCAGTATGTAGTGTCTCTACTTTAAAGAGTCCTCTCCTGCTGATGTTCAGGTGTATATCAGTATGTAGCGTCTCTACTTTAAAGAGTCCTCTCCTGCTGATGTGCAGGTGTATAGGAGCGCAAGTGTTAAAACAGTGATGTCGGGAAGTTTGGGATTTGTCGCCTTTGCAGACCATTCACAAAAACAATATAAAACACACAACAGGAAAGGGAAAAGCCCCCAAAAAGCACAACAGGGCCTCTTTAATTAGTGGTTTCCTACATTTCCCAGGAGACCTTGCAGCAGTTCCCAGGAACTCTGTAAATATGACAGTAGTCCAGATTGTCCTTTAGATAACACTGCCT